CTGTTGACGGGCTCCAAACAGGCAGTCAGTGGTGTGGAGTTGTGATTTGCTAGTCCAGTGATGAGTGAGGTGGGGCACACGGTAGGCAGAGAGAGAGATGGTGCGGAAAGAGACGCGTTATGTGAACCACTCCAAAAAAGTTGTAGATCTATTCAGTAAAACATGACTATAGCAGCAACCGCTGTGCACAGCGGGACCTTACCGGAATCCCCCTTTTATTTCTCTATGCAAACTCAACGATATGTGCTCGGCTTTAACGGGGCACAGAAATGCCCGAACTTGAATACAGCAGGAGAGATCGAGCGAGCTCTATCTGTGGGGAAGTGGGTTGGGGAGCTGTAGGCGGGATCCAAACAGGCATCCAGGGGTGGGGCGTGTGATTGGCCAGTCCAGTAATGAGTAAGGTGAGGCAGGCAGCAGAGAGACGCGTTACATGAGCCACTCCAAAATTTAAAGTGAGTGATGTGCCTTAGCCTTGACGCTCAGTACCGTATAAAGAGCATTAGGCCATAGCCCTAGAGGCTAAGCCAAAAAGTAAAAGAAGAGGAGAGTGTGTAGTGTATAATTCCTGATTCATTGAATTGCGATCATTGATGCTCAGGCATACGCACACATCCACTTTACCAGTCCTACTATATAGGCCTACCAGTATGATAGACAGCACAAAAGCAAAAAGTCGAGGAAAAGATGGCTTCAAACTCAAACAAAGACGAAAAAGGAAATGCTTCTCACTCAAATTAAAATCCAAAATTATAATCAAAGGAGTTGACAAGAAAAGAAGACTAATCTAAAGCGCAAATTTGATTGATATATATGGAAGGGATGTAATCATGTGGATTTTTTTAAATTTTTCGGTAATTTCCCCTTTGTATTCCTACGGCAGGAACTCGCCTACAGCGGGATTTTTCTGCTGGAACCAAAAGTCCCCCTAGAGCCGTGTATTCTACTGTATCTAGAGATTCCTTAAAATCAGCATTACTCCCATGACTAAACACAATGCACCCCCCCCCCTTCCTAAAATTCCTGTGGAAATACTAAAAGTAAAAGTATGGTACTTAAAAGAAGAAATATTCCAAAGAATACATTATAATCAGTTAAATTAGCCAAGTTTAGAACAACTTGATTTTGATAAGTTGAACCACAAGAGTAAAAAATTCTCACACAAACAAATCTCAAACTTACATCATTTGACAATAAACTATCTTCATGAAAACAAAAAGGTCCGACATAGAGATTACACATCATCAACAATTTGTAAAAACGGCATGCTCCACCCAGCTGGGTTCATAAGATAACACTAATGTACAAGACAACACACATTTCACATGAACACGTGAAGTCTTCCACTGGAGTTGGCCCCGACCACAGCACACTCCAGCTGAGGATGGAACTCATTCAGGCTACAAACAGAGCCCAGGTAGTCTTCATTTTGCAAGGCTTTGATCAAAGTTCCATTGGTGTTGTAAATTTCAATCTCACGAGGCCGCCGCATGGAGCCCGTCACGAATACATCCTCCACGAAAGGATGCCATGTGGGTCGGAAGTTGGTGAGCCACCTCCCTGTCCAGTTGTTGTGGCGAATGCTTTTTGAAAGCTTCAGGCGTATTCCTTCCCCGACATCAGACACAACAATTGTATCATCGGAGGAACAGGACAGAATTTTGCCCCCATTTGGAGAGAAATAAGCACTGGAGATTGCTTTGGTGTGGTGCGACAAAGTCTGGAGTGGTTTGGGTGTCTTAGCGTTGATGTTACGAAGGTCCCACAAGTTGATCTTTGCCTCCACCCCAGCAGTGATGAAATAATGTTGATCGACTGGGTGAACGCTGACTGTTCGAAGGCTCTTTCTGCTGACGTTATACTCGTGCTCTGCAGAGCTTCCCGGCGTTCTAGTGTCCACCATTGAAACCATGCCGCTATACTGAGACACAAGCATTGTGTTGCCGTCATCGATGAAATCAAAATTGCGAAGCAAGTCATCGTTTTGTTCTGGTACTGAAAAAACTTCGTCAAACACGCCTTTTTCAAAGTCTCCACATCGGAGAGTGGCATCATAACTACACGAGAACAGCTTGTGATGACCTGGTTGGAAGAAGAGATGGCTGACTGGCTTAATGTGAGGTTTGAACACCAACACACTTTCAACATCATCTCTCCCACTACTCCCAACATTCCATAAACCAACATGGCCATACTTGTCACCAGCAGCGGTTAACAAACATGACGGCGATGGGTGCCATGATACAGAGAATACCCTGCCTGGCACAACTTTGGCAACTCTGTTTTCATTCATGCACACTTTGTTCAGTGACTTTGTCAGGGACGTAATGTTCGATGAGGCAGATTTCCCATCCAAAGTCTGTTTACAGATGACAGTCGAAAATGATGTAACATCTTTCTCTGTGATGTTTTCTGCTTTCGAAAAAATACAGTCTTTCATGGGTACAGGCCCGTCTGGCAGTCGTGGTTCGGCCACATTTTCTTCAACCGGCTCAGGCTCTGGCAAAGGAGTTCCCTTCGGATCAATACGACGAATTCTCATACTTTGCCTTCTGACAATCATCTCTGGCTCCTTCTTAATTCTTAGCCCTTTTTGAGTAGGAGTGTACTTTTTCTCAGGTTTGTTCAGTGCCGAGGCCTGAAGCTGTTTTTTGGCTTCATCCATTCCCAAGCTAGCAAAGAATTCCTCATTTGCTTTCATGTTCGCTTCACGCATACGAACATAGTCTAAAGATTCTTCATTTTCATCGTCTGAAATATCAGATTCATCTTCAGCAACCTTGACAAAACCGATATTATCCTTCTCTACCGTGCCACATTTGTCATGATCACTGTTTTTGAATGCCAGTTGATCAACATTATTCGTACTATCCGAATTCCTGCCGCTTACATTGGTCCTGATATTTTCTTTGCTTTCACTATCGAGAATACAACTGGATTTTTCCTGTACTTCAGAATTATACATACTCCAATCGACCTTCCGTCTTTTATTTAACAAACCTCTACCAAGTCTTGTTCCCACACCACCACCTTCACCTGCCAGTTCCGCTCTCGCTTTCTGAGAGACATCTCCGTGGATTTGGTAAAGTGGGCGTTTCGTGCTTCTAGATCTAGAACTCACACTTACAAAAGCCTTCTTGCCTTCCACTTCTCTCCTATCACGACTATCAAACATCCTGTCTCTGCCACTGCCAAATCCAGAACCAGGTGAGGTTGAAGTTGAAGACACTCGGTTACTACTACGACTACGAGAACGAGACAGAGGAAGATCTGATTCCCCTGCACTCGCAGCAAGGTTCACTTTATAGATTGGGACACTGACACCCTTCGCCTTCAGTTGAAACTTGAAGTTGGAGTCTCTCAGCCCTGAACCAGACCTGCTCCTGGTTTGCATTGCGGTAACAGAAATTCACTCGACACTTTGGTAAATGATGAGAACAAATTATTGTAAGCCACAGTAGTGTGTCTTCTTTCACTTTTCGGTCGAGAAAATGCGGAAGAAAAGTGTAAACACTAAACACTAGATGACTAAATAGATCTACTAACCAACAGCCGCGTATTATAAGGTAACAACGGGTATCCCGCGCCAAAGTTTCGTAACAAGTTTCATAACAAAAAAAAGTACGAAAGTTTCAGCCTCTCACAGCTCCTTACCGTGTAGAGCTGTTCGAGGAATTTCATGTTTACGAATTCTAGAATATAGTTTTCCACAATACATTGGGAAAGTACTAAGTACATGATAAATAAGCAACATTTTAAGACGAACGGTACTTACCAGGGTGGGAACAACACCAGATGAGGATTTTATCAAATACAAAATGGCTGCTTCGAAGAAAACCTAGGTATTCTCATCTCAATCACAATATCTCGCAAACTCCCGCATGGTTACGTTCCCCGCGGGAACTGGGAACAGGTCGAAGAACAACAACTGTGCACAAAACATGATAACGTGATAACGTATTGCTTGGATTATTTCCCTTTAAGTGAAACTGCTGAGCTCTTGAACTTTCCTAAATTCTTGATAATACATCATATATCCACGTTGAATGTTGGAATTTCTCTACTGATGTAAATACGCATACCAGTGGCAGTAATGTGGGTACGTGCGCTCAGGTTGTTGAGTAGGCTAGAAGCGGGAGAAGAGTGGGGCACTGACAGTCCCATGTTGTAAAAAGAGGAGGGTAGGACTGACTTCGATTTGGGGAACTAAAGGACTAATTTTTTTTAAATAACAAATTCTCATAGCCTACCTGAGAGAGTAGATGACTGCGAAGTTCTTTGCTTTTGGCGGCCACAGCATCAAATTCATTGTCCAGTCTGGTCAAGATCTCATTTTCCACTGACATCAGTATAAATCAAATCAGATGTTCCGGTGTCGTTGTGCTTCGGAGAGGGGTTTTGATTCTCTTCAGGACAGAAAACGACCGTTCGCATGCAACCTTTGACACAGGCAGGGTTAGTAGTAGCTTGAAAGCAACCTCAATGCCTTTGCAAGCATTAGTGAAGAGGTTCAACTTGAGTAGCACATTGACCTTGTAAAAGCAGAGTGGGCAAGCTTTGCATGAGATACATACATCATATATATATAACAGTGGAACTTGAAACATTTTGTGCGCTCAGTTCTAGTTCTAATTCACTGTCAATATCGCTGTCTTTCACCTCATTGTGGTCTGCAGCTGACTGCTTCGGCGATTTCCATTGTTCTCCAAGGCTTTGCAATTCTGTTCGCAACCCTTCAGCGGTGACGATATCGTCAAATCTCAGTAAGTACTTTTGCAGCTCTTCCATAGCCTCTGATGGGACTTCACCGAAGTTTCTTGGATGAAGAAGGGACTGATCAGCCAACGATCTAGGCACTGCAAATTTTTTAAAAATTTTGTTCAATGCTGTTAACAAGCGTGTCTACAATTCGATTGTAAACTTCAATACGATATTTCTTCATTGGGTCAGCTGTTGATGTAGCTTCGTCTGTACAGAATTCATCATCAATTCGTCTGCGTCGTCTTTGCCGTTTCAAGGGAAGCGACTCTTCCAGGAACGAATCTGTCCCGCTCTCCTTCAGTGCATCATTTACTTGATTTACCCTCTGAACAAACTTTGCTGCTGCCTTTTGAGGAGCTTCGAAGTCCGCCATGACTGCTTGGGTGTTGTCAGCAATAAGTACAGTGTTGAGGCTGGTGTTCACTTCAACAAACAGCTTCTGATGGGTTGTTGAAAGAACCAAACACCTTCCTTAAGGCAACATCTTCTGACCACTATCTGGTCTCACCAATGGCCCCCAAACGCTTCATAGTTGTCGAGTGCCTGCTGCAGATGTTGATCTGCTGATAAGACTTCCAGAAGAACTCTGCAATGTCGTTCATCGATGTAAATAGTGATGCACTGTTCACTACAGCACTTATTGTGGCCTCCGAAACAACAAAATTCAACACATGAGCGTGGTACCAAACATGGTTCTGCATTGGAGCTTTGCTTGAAAGCCTAGCATCTGCGTTGGTCGCGGCCGCGATTTTTACCTTTAAACAAAAAGACAAAACAACAAAGACACTTCATAACATATTAGGCATGTATCTTGATAAGTTTTAAGATGTCCAAGTGTATCTCTTTTCATGCGGAGAATATAACTTATATTATAAGTACTGTACATTACATTACGTACTACATGTAGCTCTATATTGCTGTGTATGTCTTTTGTTTTCCCCTCTTTTTTTGTGTTTTAATTTTTTGGTGTGTTAATTTTATTAAAAACTGTTCTGATGGTTTGTTTTTCTTTTTGTGTGTTTATACAGTGTAATGTCATTTAATTTAATGCTGTTCCTGCCCTTTAAAAAAAAGGGTTTTGTTAGAGCGTGTCTCCACCAAAACCGAATACTGACACTGGCACTGGCACGGCCCAATTGTGTGTGATTCCATAATTTACATGTAATATCCTGTGGGCGTATTTTTTCCTGAATTACACACGTTTAGGGTTAAAACAGCCAATCTTCGGATAGGTGGACAGGCGCCCTAATAATTTTTGTGGTTATTTATTGGTGCTGTTCTAATTTTGATTTCATTCTGTGGTGAAACCTTTATTTTTCACGTTTTTATACTTTGGGTGACTACAAATGATATTCTGAGTGCTTAAAACAGAGCACAAGAAATTCTGGGGCTTTAGATTGTTACCTCTATCAACATATTGATATATATATATATATATACGTCGTCACAGAGAGTTGAAACCTTGAAAATTAATGGCAACCTTTTTGGCAACTTTTGCCACTTTTTGTGGCAACTTTTGGACAAAAAATGGCAACAAACGCAGATGCAAGGAAAGGAGAGTATTGAATGAAACCTCTTTAGTGTCCCTGCATGTTTGCTGCACCGTCTGTTGCGTCTCCAACGCCTTGTTTGAGGTCAAGATTCAACCCTTGCATAACGTCCTAAACAATCTGCACAAGAGCTTCGCCGGTAGCTTCTTCGCACTTCACAATGCTCACCAATCTTTCTTGGATGTTGCCAGTTTTATTCACGTATCGAACGACAATGGAGCACTGGTCTTGAGTTGCTATGTCCTGTGTTGTGTCAATTTCCGCAGCAAACATGTCTGTTATGTCTTCCGAAATGGAGCAACAGATCTTATCCCGAATAACCGTAATGATAGACGGCACAGTAGTTTTGGACAAAAATGTAACAAATAAGCCTCTTGCCTGAACCGTTTGCCTTCTCATTTTTTGTCTTGCTGCCATGGACTACGCGAGAGAGATGACCAGCTGTGTATGAATCATATTTGTGTAGCAACTTAACAATTTCCAGGAAAATACCATGGTCAATTTCTGCATTGTCCAGAGTGTAGGCTGCCTCTTCCGTACTTCCTCTGTAGCTTAGTCCCGTCTTGCCTATGAGTCTACATCCATAACTCGATTCATCACTTGCCGTTTCTTTCTGACTTCATCACAGTAGTCCTTACCCAACCCGTCAGAAATGCTTGATTGTTTTTTATCAACCAGGTATGCTGTTGAGCATTGCAGATGCAAAGATGAACGTTCATGCTGTTCAATACGAGAATGTACATGTCGCCAGTCTTTCATCCCCCCAAGAAATGCGGATATGTCTGAAGTGGCAGAAAACACCGAGCAGACAGAACAGTGAAATGCATGGGAGTCTTTGTAGCAAAATAGCCACCATCTGTTAGAACCGTCTTCACGAATGAAATATCGTTGCACCACTCTAATATAATCTGTCTTCTGAAGGATGATGATACATGTATTCAAAATATTTCGGCATTTTGATGCACTTTCAGATAGTTCTTTTTCTTTCGATCGCGTTCCTTCTCCGCACCTCCTTTTCTTTTTTGTGGTTTGACTTAGATCTATCCCTTACTACTTATCCATTCAGGCCTACAAACAATGGTAGATACGAGTAGCCTACCAGTGCTGGAAAAAGCAATTATGATTCTTTTTCTACTCAACGTAAAAAAAACCCCTAGAAAGCAGACATAGACATTCGTACGTTTTAAAACGTTTTTTCTTCCGCCGAGGTTACAAGTAGATTTCTTAATTAAACGTTGAAGAAAAAGGAGTAGATATACACATGTACCGGTCTTATAAACACAGTAATCTGAAGACAATTTTTTTTTAACCAAGCGGCCCATTTTGTCCTTTCAGCACCGGCCAACTTTTCCTCTTCGGCACCGGCCCACTTTGTCCATTCGGCACCGGCCCAAGGGGCATTGCCCAAATGCCCATCATAGGCCAGTCCACACCTGAAAGGGACATAAAAGAGATGAAGCTCTCGTGGAACGAGCTTGGAAGGATGGCCCAGGACAGAAATAAATGGTCGGATTAAAGCACAGGGGGGCTATCTCGTAAAATGCTGTTTTGAGAAAATTGAAAGAAAAGTTTTTGCCCTTGCTCAATTTCTTTAAAAGACAAGGAGAGGTTTCTTTAGAATCAAACAAATATACACACCAATGAAATCAAACGTCCCCTATAGGTAGGGCAATGCCGATTTTGATGTAGGTCAAGATTTCTGGAAATCCCCGCTTGTCCTTAAAAGTGACCAAATGGAAGGAGCTTATATACATTGTATATGATGTGGCCTATACACTGCCAGGGGTGACAGGCATTGATGATGATAAATAGCAATACATGTAGTAATACATGTAATAGTAATAATAAAAACAATGAATATAATGTAATATGTAGGACCATAGCGCATATTCCATTTTACATAATTACCCCAATAGATCCAAGAACACTCAGAAACATTCTTGGCTTCCCGAGAAGCATACGCAGTGCAAGTAGCCCAGCACCCAAAACTCTACAAACTGACAATGTTATCTTTCAGTAATCAATAGCCAGGTCCCATTCCCATCAGAGTGAAGTGGGGGGAAATTCGAGTGGAGTGTCTTTTTCATGGTCACAACGTCCGACCCCTGACGAGATTCGAACCCTCGACCTTTCGGCGGGCTCAAAAGCCTAATTATACTAGATCTACTAGACCTGTGACGCTCACATACAATTTAGTTTAGCGTTCGATACGACGCGCTGCAACATGTGTGTAGCCTATGTGTTGATGGTGAGCGGTCGATATTTCCATACATTACTCCCGTCCAGATTTAGAAAGTATCAGTCAATCAGACAGCTGCCAACCACAGAGAAAGGTTTTTCTGACTCCAAATCTCCCAATTTGTTGACAATGGTGTTGGAAACCCGTTCCTCCAATAGAGAAAAAAGCCTAAAATTCCAGAGCCAAAAGAACACAGATTCCGTTGAAGAAATGCTCATGCAAATCCATCATCATTTTTTATTCTAACTTAAAAGCCAGATCATCAACAACGTGTTACTTTTCTGCTCGAAAGTTCTCAAAAATCTTATATCATTATCATGGTATTTTCCCGTCATCCGTCTGTTCCGAGTTCTCTTTACTATAATAGTAATAGTTCCATGTGTTTTCCCATGTGTACCTCAGCATCCTTTGCCTTTATTCACTAGCTGTTGTTAGAGCGGTGCATTCAGGACCTTTGCGTCGTTTCAGGTATAATGAGAATGGCAAATATATATGTCATGTCTATTTTTTTTAATGCAGGTGTTTTCATGTTCTCATACTCATAATTAAGATAATTTATTTAGGAGACGGGCTCTCCCACCGTGCCTGTCAGGGCCAACCCGGGCTGAGAGGGGTAGGCGATCCCAGCAGAAAAACCGAGACACTCGATAAGAATTTCTCCTCACTGAGGAATCGAACTTGGGTCTCCCGCTTGCGACAACGAAGCGACTAACCCTGACCCTCAGACGTGATTGTTTTTTTTCCTTCTACATTGCCTAGCCTTTGCATTATTTACAGACAAAGCCGCGCTAGACTGTCTCGCATAAATCACAAAATGATGTTACGTGTATTATAACTGATCGTGCACAATGAAATACTTCCATATCCTGTGGAGTACCCTTTTTGAGCCAAATGAAGGGGAAAAGGAGGCGTGAGGGGGGGGGGGGGGGGAGGTGCCGAGTACTCTCAATTGAACAGGGCTGATGTTTTGCTTTTAATTTTGGACACCATGGCTCCATGATGCAAACACTTAGCAGTAAAGTTTTCACAGACAACGGAGAGCGTCGGCCATGACAGTGAACGATCATGGGATACTAGTACTAGTCTATGGTTATCCCAACTGCCAACTGGAGAAGGCAGGGGTAAACAGTTAACCTCAGCTTTTATTTTAAATTTACTGCCAGCTCTTGATCAATGTGTTATCATCAGTTCCAGTGTCATTTTATCTAATAACATGCCCCGAAAATTGTTATAGTGTGTCTCCAATAGAACCGAGACAAGTAGATTTGAGAGACTCGTAATGTCATCAAAAAGACTCTGAGTTCAAGTTCAAGAGTGCCCGGTCAGGGATTCGATTCGAATCAAGTCCATCCGTTACGTAGTCCAGCTTCCAGCATGATACATTATGTACAAGCTGAGCTTCTGGAGCGCCCCCCCCC